GATCTTCTACGCTTCAAGTTTTTGCAGATGTTCTCACACACAGGTACCATGAGACTTGTAGGATATCCTGATTCTCGTAGTCATGACATCAGTTTTTCGAAGCTTTGTCCTATTTGATGTTTAGAGTGATTTGTGAAGTGCAGAGTTTAGAGTCGTGCTGGCGACGCATCTCTAAATGATTCTTGAGTGTTTTGATGTGAACGGCAGAAACAGGCTTGCTGACCAGGGTTCGTACCTCCAGCACACGTGTCCTTGATTGAAAATAAGAGTGAGGTCTAGAAGTTTTCTATTTTTGTCCACAGGTGTCTCATGCATGAAACCCAGGTCAGGGCACCTTTATTGGCAGCGTCCCTAAACTGTATTTCTGTGTCCGTTTAATTACACTACTATCGCATCTGGGTATGCATGAATGCGATCTTAGCACATCGAAATGAGCAGGAACCAAGCAGCCCAACGGGATGCGTGTGATAAGCTATAGCGCCAACTTGAATGTCGTTTCTGGAACAAGATATAAGCTCTACGTGAGCGTTAAAGGAAGAAGACAGACAGCACGAGAGACTCAGAAAGCAACTGCGATCACGGACTGGAACGATCGAAGCGAGCCGATTCAAGCTTGTCCACAATCATCGCATATGCGTGTGGGTCGGAACAAATAAAACGACTTTCAAACAGCGCATATCAAAGTTATAATCACTGCGTCTTACTTTGATAGACTCCTGTTTTATGACCGACCGAAATTAGTAAGCTCGCGGTTGTCTTCGCTGAAAGCTGTCTAGATATGTCCAGGTGGCGGCTGACTGAAAGGCGCATGCCAGCAGGGGACGTGTGGCAAGCTATAAACGCTTTGCAGCAGCTGTGCATGGACGCCGCCATAACTGACCTTCAGTTTTTGCTTCCTTTTATTTCGTTTATTTCACTTCATCATTACCATAGCAGGCCAGGTTATTACCATATTAGATTCAACTGTGTCATTTTCTAAAGCATCGGCCTTTGTAGCGGATCGTCAACGACCTTTTCTCGGCAAGGCAAGAGAAGGTCAGCAATGGCGGCTGTAATCTGGCGCGTGTGTAAAGCGTCTATAACGCCAAGTCATTGTTGTTTTTGGTGAGTAACTGCCTGATTTTTTTTTCCTCCTCGCTGGACTACTGCATTTCGAGTGTCTCTTCTTGAAAACATGGTACAGAGTTCGATTCCCACCAAGTAGTTTGATAAATCTCGTTTGGTACAAAACTTTCGGCTAATCGAGTGTTTGTACCATATATCAGGACTAAGATGGCCTTCTTGAATTGTTACGCATTGCCAAATACGGGTGGTGTATGCTTCTTGTTGCCTCGGCTTGTGTCCAAAAATTTTCGTCACATTCGTGGTTGACACTTTTCGCATAAAATCCTGCCGAAGAAAACATTTTGTGAAAACACTGCTAGTCGGAGGGTTGACACTGGGGTAAATTTAGCGGGAAGCTGCGACGCCAGAAGATTTCCTCCTCAAAGTAACCTGTGACGTCATATATGTGTATATTGTCACGGGTGGTGAGTCATGACCAATAAACAAGAAATAAACAGAAATAAATAAACGTTTAATGTGGCGAACTTGTGCCAAAAATAAAGAAGGAAACAGAAGAAAGCAGAGCGTCGCGGGCGTCGAAGTCGGCGTGTCAGCAGAATCGAGCGCTGGGGCGAGACTGACTCGACAAGGTCGCGGGCGGCCTCTTATCTAGAGTGCGTCGCTATCTCGAAGATTCGGCGAAAGCGGCTCGAGCGTCGCGTGATCGGGCGAGAATGAACACGCACTTTCTAGAAAACAAAAGCAGGAATAAATGATAGAAGTTACATGCGGTACATGAATAAACGAGAACTTTCTGGAGGTCCGTGACCGAGCGTTGCTTTCTCAGCCCTGGGCGCGGCATTATCCCTCCCTTTAAAAGTGCATCGTCCCGATGCAGCACAAAAACGGAAAACAAAAACAAAAGGACAGCAGAATTGCTAGCCGGAGTTCACAGTCCACAGTTCGCTCGTCGACGAGAGTGGAGAGTCCTATCGTTCGTAATACGGCTTCAGCCGGACGACATGCACCACCTCGGGTCGCGGCTGACGTCTTGCAGATGGGCGCGTTCCGTCGGGTAGAACTTTGTAGTTCAGATCGCCGAGGCGTCGGATGATCTTGTAGGGCCCAAAGTAGCGCTTCAGGAGTTTTTCGCTGAGACCGCGACGACGAATCGGCGTCCACACCCAAACTCTGTCTCCGGGCTGGAAGTGGACGTCGCTGCGACGAAGATTATACCGGCGAGCGTCGACATGTTGCTGGTCTTGAATTCGTAGTCTGACTAGCTGGCGGACCTCTTCTGCCCGTTGAGCAACCACCTGGGCGTCATCACTCCCGTCGTTGACTGACTCGTGCGGCAGCATAGAGTCTAGCATAGTCGTCACCGCCCGGCCATACACCAGCTGGAAGGGCGTCACTCCTGTGGTCTCTTGCACTGCTGTGTTGTAGGCGAACGTGACGTAGGGCAGCACTTCGTCCCAGGTCTTGTGCTCCACGTCGACGTACATAGAGACCATGTCGGCGATTGTTTTGTTGAGCCGCTCCGTCAACCCGTTGGTCTGCGGATGGTATGCCGTTGTTCGACGGTGTTCCGTGTGGCTTAAACGCAGGATCTCTTGGGTCAACTGTGCCATAAACGATGACCCTCGGTCTGTGATCAGTACTTCGGGGGCGCCATGGCGGAGGACGATGGACTCGATGAAGAACTTGGCGACTTCGACAGCAGTCCCCGAAGGAAGGGCTTTCGTCTCGGCGTAACGAGTAAGATAATCGGTGGCGACGATTATCCAGCGGTTCCCCATCGTCGACGGTGGAAAAGGACCCAGCAAATCCATTCCAATTTGCTGGAAGGGCTTGGTTGGCGGGGTAATCGGCTGAAGGAGACCTGCTGGCTTTGACGGTGGTTTCTTGCGTCGCTGGCACTCATGGCACGATCGTGTGTAGAGATGGACGGTCTTCGGAAGCTTTGGCCAGTAGTACTTGTCACGAATCCGGGCAAGGGTCCTGCTGTAGCCGAGATGTCCGGCCGTTGGGTCGTCGTGGCACGCTAGAAAAATTTCTTCTCGGAGGCTGGCGGGGACAACCAGTAGCCAGGGGGTTTCGCTGGTTCCGAAATTCTTTCTGAAGAGCACGCCTCGCCGCAGGACAAAGCTCGGTAGGTCCCGAGAAAAGACCCGTGGGACAGAGCCTCCTCGACCTTCGAGGCTGTCGATCACGGAGCTAAGTTCCGCGTCGTCGCGTTGCAGTGCCCTCATGTCGGTAGCGTCAACTGCGCCTAGAAAACGGGCGTCGTCATCGTCGTCCGCGCCGGAGATTGGAGGTTCGACTGGAGCCCTAGACAAACAGTCAGCGTCATTATGCTTGCGGCCGGACTTATGCACAATGGTTACGTCGAATTCCTGCAGTCGAAGGCTCCAGCGGGCGAGGCGTCCGGACGGATCCTTGAGGTTTGCGAGCCAGCAGAGGGCGTGGTGGTCTGTGACCACGCGAAACGGGATGGTGCTTCGGGTGGTGCTACGCAGGCAGGAGCCTCCGGTTGAATTGCCCGCTGGACTTCTTCGCGCACCACTTCGGCGATCGACAGCACAGCCGGCTGGTTGGCAGCAGGCAGCAGCTTCCGGAGCTCCTCCCGGACGATGTCGCGGACGATTTCCCGAAGGCCGTCGACACCGGTGGCGTTCAGGTCTAGTCGGCAAGATGCGGCGGTTCGAGGAGCAGGCACGCCGGCGAGTCGATGGTAATGGCTTGCTCGGGCCGACAGCGCTCGCTCGATGTTAGTGGCTTCAGCCACAAAACCGTCGACGGTTGTCGGGGGATGGCGGACAAGGCCCCCAAAAATTTGAGCCTTCACGCCACGCATGAGGACGCGGAGCTTCTTCTCATCGGCTGCCTCCGGATCGGCTCGGGCACATAGGCGCATGACATCCTCTACGAAGCTGGTCACGCTTTCGTTGGGGCCCTGCACCCTTGTTTGGAGAAGGTCCTCCGCTCGCTGCCGACGGTGGTGGTTGAGGAACGTTCGCTTCAACTCCGCGGCGCAGGACTCCCACGTAGTGAAGGACGCTTCGTGGTTTTCAAACCAATGCCTCGCAGTTCCTTCAAGCGCGAAGTAGAGATTGTGGAGGTATTGTTCAGTCGTCCATCCGTTGTGGCGGGCTACACGTTCGTAATGTTGCAGCCAGTCTTCAACGTCCTCGTGGACGTCTCCGTGGAAAGGCGTTGGAGTCCTGGGTGCGATCGGCAGGTACACAACGGCAGAAGCGGCCGGGGTCTGCGCCTGGTTGGCCATCGTCGTCTTCGGCTTGGTCGTGGGTGGCAGAAGTCCGTGTTCCGGGGGTAGACCTCGGATGCGGCGACGTGACCGGGTCTCGATCTGGTCTTCGTCGGGTCCTCCGGAGCTGGGGTTTGGACTTGTACTGCGGGAACTCGGAGGGCTGCGCTGCACGGACATGCGGTACCCCGCACCTCCACCAGAATGTCACAGGTGGTGAGTCGTGACCAATAAACAAGAAATAAACAGAAATAAATAAACGTTTAATGTGGCGAACTTGTGCCAAAAATAAAGAAGGAAACAGAAGAAAGCAGAGCGTCGCGGGCGTCGAAGTCGGCGTGTCAGCAGAATCGAGCGCTGGGGCGAGACTGACTCGACAAGGTCGCGGGCGGCCTCTTATCTAGAGTGCGTCGCTATCTCGAAGATTCGGCGAAAGCGGCTCGAGCGTCGCGTGATCGGGCGAGAATGAACACGCACTTTCTAGAAAACAAAAGCAGGAATAAATGATAGAAGTTACATGCGGTACATGAATAAACGAGAACTTTCTGGAGGTCCGTGACCGAGCGTTGCTCTCTCAGCCCTGGGCGCGGCAATATATGAATCTTCACGTACTGGGGTTCCAACTACTAAAAATATTATTTGCGCATCACGTCGTTATAAACGAGTTACATGTATGGTATTTTCTTACCTCGTTGGCATCGGGATAATCTCCTTTCCTCTTCTGAGGTAAACTAGCATCGCTGTGATATAACAACAGTATTCCCAAGACGAAGAAGACGAACATTGCCTCTCGGGGTTTAAACAAGTATATACGTGCCGACACAGAATATATCTTGGTATAGTGCTAGATGTTTATAACAACAGAATTCCAAAAGTAAGATCTGATTTTTTTGTGTGAACCTGTCAACTAGCTGCTAAATCACAATAGACATTGTCCAAGCATCAAAAAATGTTATTTTGACACATGTTATTTTTGCGTTCCCAAACCAATTCTCCTTGACAGACGCACAAGATAACCTTTCTCTTCGTGTACCGTGAAAATAGCTTTACATTGAGCGTGTTAAACTATAACGTTCCAAAACATTTAAGAAAATGAAATGCGTATAATCCTAGCTATATTTTTCAGCATATAAACCGGCGAGGTCGATGACCTTCAAGCGGAAGGTTATTTCCGATGTTGAAATATCGCTTAAAAAAATTATCCGGCGCACATTTTAGAGTAAATTACACGGCGTTTATTTTTATAATCAAATTGTTGAGAACAAGGATCACGCTTTGCCGGAACGCAGTAAAAAAAATTGACCAGTCCTGTGTAAAACGCAAAAAACAGAAATGAGCGAAAATTGCGTCGCATCGCACTGCCATGCTGCGTAATTCCAGAAAGTACCCATGGCAAAGCGCATTGAATACTACACAATACACAGAGAGAATACAACACTTGAAGGACGAACACAGACATACACAGTTTTTTCAATGTGCAACGAACATTTATGAAATGCCCATGACGCTACGACCGCGAACTTCAAAGAATTGAAAGAAGGAGAACGAAAATAAAGAAAATGAAAATGCTCAAATTTAAAATAAAACTAAATTGCTCAAAATTTTTAAGATACCAATTTAAAAAGATAGGACATTTATGGAAATTAACCCCTGAATAAACAGGAAATGGAAGAAAGAAAGAAAATTAACCCTTGAATAAAGGGGAAAAGGAAGAAGAAAAGAAAGGAAATTAACCCCTGAAAACGGGGAAACCGAAGAAGAAAAGAAAGGAAAAGAAGGCAAAATGAATAATTGAATAATTGATAAAAACTATAGTCGGTTGCAAGCTAAGAAAAAACCGGAAGTACCTCTCAGAGGAAAATGTAATCCTACGCCGAGAAACGCCAGCCAATTGTTTTTATGACGTCACGATTCCGTGGACCAATCGCGATCCTTTTGAAAAAAAAAAAAGCTCAACATGGCTGCTGGCCTTAGCAACGCGACGCTAGTTTCTCGTGACAATTATTCTGCTTTTTTGCACCGTGTTTTACGTGCCCGAGGTTACGCCACGAAATCTTAATGGTATCGGCTTGCGTTTGCAGCAGTTTTTGCGCGACAACGTGAGAATCCAGCGACGCTATCGCCAACGAAAATTTCGAAGCGGGCGCGAGGCTTAGCACTGCTGAGAGGTATGTTAGACGGTATGTTTAGACAGTATCTTGGACAGAAAATGAATTGGGAAGACGGTACATTGAACATGACTTTCTTTCTTTACTAAACAGCTATTTCGTTGACAAAAACGTATTCCAACTTATTTAAATGTCCTGAATGAATTAAATAATTATTGTAGTAGTTTAAGACACGTTTCCTGGAGGAAGAAAAAGCAACGTTGCTAGCGAACTACTTTCTCGACGACGGAGGCACTTCAGATGGGCGCAATGCGCTTGTGGGTGGAGCTAAAAGATTGTTCTTAGGTTGCATCCGACTATAGCTTTACGATAACTTTGGCGGGAGGAACTCCAGCTCTTTTGATGATAACACCAGAGAAGGCTCAAAAACATTGTTCGCGGCGTATTTGATCTTAAACGCCTCAATTATTTCTCGCCCACACTTATCTCTGGGTGTTTCAAGCACAGTGGTGTTTTCAAAGCCTGGGGTGCAATGGTGGCAGGTATGGGCATGCACAACTATGGGGTGAAATGAGTTTGATGATGCCTTGGTGACTTCTAAATGGTGCTCCTATAAGGCGAACATTTAGGCATCGTCCAGTTTGGCCGATGTAGTGGCCTCCGCACCTCAGAGGAATTGAATAGATTGGCTTCTCGTTATATTTAACATGTTGGAGTGCTTGATGGAGCATTTGGGTGGTCGACTCTCGTTATTCACCCCCTGGCGCATTTGGTTTAACCTCATTCTACAAGTGAAAACCACCTTCGTGTCAAACCGAGCAGCAAGAGTCTTCAGGCGGTGGGCGGCGTTGTGCAGGTATGAAATGCAAACCGGATGTGAATGGCTATTTTGTTTCAATGGAGGACGGATGGGGCCCGTATGAGACGCTGAAGGGTTGTACGGAGGAGGTGGGCTGAATAACCTGCTTGGAGCAGACGGTCATGCTGTCGCAGGACGCTTTCTGATGAGAGGCGTGAACAGGATTTCGAGCGAGAAGAGGTAAACAAGGTACGTTTCGAGGATAAAGGGAGTATACTGGGCTCTGCTTCTAAGCTAAAGGGTAGTGACTTTGCTGTCCGGCAGGACCTGTCCGAAGCAATTCGTTTGCCTCGCTCTAAGCTCTTTCTGTAAGCCCAGCCCCAAAAGGTGCCCTTTAAAATCCGTTTTAATAAATGAACCTTTTCCGAGAAGCGTTCTGCGCACGCGCGAGCGCCCGATGCCAAGCGGTGGAAGTCGGCACGAAAAAATCGAGGAAATTCGGAATGAGGCTGTAAATCGACGAGTAGAACACGTAATTGCAGCATATATATAATTGTGTTACACAAAAAAAGAAAGTGGACGGAAAGAAAAACACGACGTTTGGGTGGACGCTACGGATTTCCTTCTTTAAAGTCGCGCTAGGCCTACCTCGTTGCATTGGGCACGCGACGCTGCTCAGAGAGCGAAGCAACTGGTAACGTAGCTCCCATTATTGATTGGTAGCGCAGGTCACTTCCTCGATTTTTTAGTTCGCGCAGCCACCGCCTGGTGCCGTCGGTATATGGAAAAGGTCCATTGTATATGGCCGGCAAGTGTTTCATTTACGATGCTGATTCAGTTATGGAGGCTCGCGCCTGACTCGCTCCGAGATCAAGTCACCGCAGTTTAGCAACATCTTCAAAGTCAAACAAAATAAAATCCATTTCCAGTTTCTCGGTTGTATATACGAACATACGCAGCCTCGTACAAAAGAGGGACGTGTTAAGCACTTACTGGGAAGATAGTGACTCGGATATAGTCGTTCTTACTGAAACTTGGCTCTCGCCTGATGTTCGGTATGACGAGTTGTTCCCCCGTCACTTATATTTTTCGGTCTTCAGATGAGCCAGAACGCAACAAAGCGGTGGTGGCGTTCTCATCGCAATTAAGAAGCTCATTTCATATTTTGTTGTACATGTGCGTCATGACCTTGAGCTCGTTTGTCGTCGTCTGTGTTTGCTCGGCGTACAGCAAACTTGTACTTATAGCACGTTACAGACCACCCAGCAGTGACGGTGATTTCACTATACTTTTTTTCAGCTTCGGTCCGAGCGAGGCCGATGTTATGAGCAGAGGGCCCAATCAAACAGCGCAAAAAGCAAAACGTCATGGCGTGCTCTCTGCAGTTGATAGGACCAGCCGCTATTCGCCGTCTCTCTGTGCGCGCTCCTCCGCCGGCTAGTCCTATCAAGAGCAGAGAGCACACCATGACTCTGCGCTTTTTGCGCTCTTTGATTGGCCCTTCAGCTCATAACATTGGCCGCGCTCGGACCGAAGCTGAAACGAAGTATACTAAACTGCACTTTTCCTTGCTAGAGATAATAAACCGCTTTCCTCATGCCAACTTTTTAATGTTTGGTGATTTCAATTTTCCGGATATATGCTGGTCAAGTCTCTCGTCTAAGGGCCCTAGTGAATCGCGGAAATTCCTCGAATTATGTTTAAACTTCAACCTAACACAAATGGTCGATTCCCCGACTCGGCTGGACAATATCCTGGATATCGTTTTGTCATCGTCACCCGATCTGGTCTGCCCCATTGACTATAGCAATGGTTTCAGCGAGCATAAGGTATTGCAAGTCACCCTAACACAGCCCAAAACTGTGAAACCCCAAGCGGAAATAAATCGATAACTAATTGCATATTACGTAAAATTTCTTGCCGAACACTCCACAAGAACGGTCGAATGCAACTGGTTGTTGTTTAGGAACAAATTGTAGGACCTTATTGAGCGTTTTGTGCCATTGATTCGTATTGACAGTGACGCCTGTAATCCTTGGTTCAACAATGTTATTAGGTCTCTGGGGAACAAGAAAAAACGTCTTTTCAGAAAAGCTACACAGAACCCGTCTCCACTCCCCATTAAAAAAGGCCAATAGGAACTCGGCCCTTTAGAAATATTGTATTCCACTGAAGTTGGTGGAAACCAATACAAAACTTATTGTTATCCGATTAACCCAATACGCGCGATGTGGATTGATATCGGAGCACAATATCTCGATATAATATGCTGTTATCGGAATACAACATGATATTGGAGCACAATATCCCGATATAATATGCTGTTATTGGAATATAACAGGATATCGGAGCACAATATCCCGACAGAACTTACGGCTATTAGAATAGAACGCGACACCGCGTGCATATTGGTGACCGACATGGACATACTGTGCGGCCACACGATATATAAATATCGCTCGTCGATCACGGCCCCAAAGGAGAATAGAATACGATATCGCGTGCATATATCTCAGAACGAATTCCAAGTTACCAACATGAATTACGTCGGCATATATACCGCGGACTAAGAAGAAACGTAACACAACATTGATCGTCCGTGAAGCAACATGTGGATATCGGTATGCCCCCATATATGACATCGCGTGAATGATATCGTAAAACAGCAGGAGTTACCATACGACAATACGAGAGAGAAAGCGATATTGGAGGACGATACACAAAGAACACAAACGTTCCGCGTTGCAAACACATTCACAGTGATCGAAAGCGCAAGTACGTACGGCTGGTGGTACGGCACACAGTACACACAGCCTCGCGCGCTTGAAATGCTAGACAACCACCAAACCATTCAGAATAACTAGCTGGAACACCCGCGACCTACCTTTTAATGAGAAAGCCCAATAACGGCGTGCTTATTCGTGTGATCGCTTTCAAACAAATGTTTATTGCAGTTGTTGTAATGCAACAAGTTAGGTTACCGGTGTTGGAACCCAAATCGAACGCGATACGTGACAATGTCAGT